ACTGAGACCACAGCACCCTCCCTGTCACACACATTTCACTGATGGCTACAGTCCCGTTCAGAACACACACAGATTTGTGAGACTGAGACCACAGCGCCCTCCCTGTCACACACATTTCACTGATGGCTACAGTCCCGTTCAGAACACATACAGATTTGTGAGACTGAGACCACAGCACCCTCCCTGTCACACACATTTCACTGATGGCTACAGTCCTGTTCAGAACACACAAAGTCCTCTGAGTCTGGTTTAAGGAAGAGCTGTGCTTTACACACAGACAAACCCATTAAAACATTTGTGTTCTTTCTGATTCTATCAGATATCTAGTGTGTCATTTTGCATGAACTATCAAAAAAGGATTTTTATTTTATTTGTTTATTTTTTGAGACAGAGTCTCTCTCTGTCTCCCAGGCTGGAGTGCAGTGGCACGATCTTGACTCACTGCAACTTCTGTCTCCCAGGTTCAAGTGATTCTCCTGCTTCAGCCTTCTGAGTAGCTGGGATTACAGGCATGCGCCACTACACCCAGCTAATTGTTGTATTTTTGGTAGAGACAGAGTTTCACCACGTTGGCCAGGCTGGTCTTGAACTCCTGACCTCAGGTGATCCGCCCATCTCTGCCTCCCAAAGTGCTGGTATTACAGACATGAGCAACCGCACCCAGCCTGTAATGCAGTTCTTAACTGGTGACTCTGGGATCTGGGCTGTGTCGTCTCATCTCCAGTGACAGCCAAGGTTGCCTGAGGTCAGGAGTTGGAGAATCACTTGCACCCAGGAGGCGGAGGTTGCAGTAAGCCAAGATCGCACCACTGCACTCCTGCCTGGGTGATAGAGTGAGACTCCATCTCATAAAAAAGGATTTTTAAAAGACAAAAATCTTGCATAACCCCATTCCCCAAAAGTGACTATTATTAACATACTGGAACATTTTTTTCTGGCCTCTGTCCTTGTGCTCATGGTGAACAAATTGGTGTCAGCAGCACCTCAATGAGCTCTGCGCCCTGGGCAGGTTGGGGTTGGGTGGGCTGCCTGAGTGGTGACAGCCCTGCTCAGGCAGGGACCCCAAAGGCCCCCGGACAGGTGCAGGGGGGTTGTGGGGGCTCCCCAGGGGCTGATGGAATTCTGTGGCCCTGTCACTGATCACTCAGGATCTGTGATGCTGCGTGACCGGGTTACACACCTGGGCATTCTGTGGGCATTTCTGTCCCCAGGCATTTGACCAAGCAGTGACCAAGGACACCTGCATGGCCGTTGGCTTCTTCCAGCGAGGAGTGGCCAACTTCCAGCTGGGGAGGTGAGCACAGGGGCACCTTGTTCCTTCTCTGACGGCCCTTTGTCCCCCTGCAGAGTCCACTCCTGCCCTCCCTCCTCCTCCCTCTCCACCGGCTCCCTTCTCGTGCCCCCCCTCCTCCTGGTTCCTGGCTTCAGGGAAAGCTGGGCAGAGACTCTGGCCCTCCCCTCTGCTCAGCGCCACCCTTGGACAGTGGTCGGGTCCTCACTACTTGCCCGGGCTGTCTGCACCGTGTTCCTTCCTAGAGGAGGAATGAGGGAAGGGTGACCATCAGATGCAGGCCAGGCCCTGCCTCGGCCTCTGCCCAGTGCTCTAAGGCCCATGCCAGGAGGGCAGGCTCTGCGGGGAAGTGGATCAAATCCTGAAAGACTTGCAATCCTGAAATGTCAAAATCCCTGAAGTCTAAAATCCCCAAAATATAAAAATCTAGAAAAAATAATTAAAATTCTCTAAAACAAATTTATTTACCTTTTTTTTTTAATACTGAGACAGAGTCTCACTCTGTTGCCCAGGCTGGAGTGCAGTGGTGCGATCTTGGCTCGCTGCAACCTCCGCCTCCCGGTTCAAGCGATTCTCCTGCCTCAGCCTCCCAAGTAGCTGGGATTACAGGTGTGCGCCACCACGCCCAGCTAATTTTTGTATTTTTAGTAGAGATGGGGTTTCACCTTGTTGGCCGGGCCGGGGTCTTGAACTCTTGACCTCGTGATCCGCCCACCTCTGCCTTCCAAAGTGCTAGGATTACAGGCATGAGCCACTGTGCCCGGCCTATTTACTTTTTTTTAAAGAGATTTATTTCAGAAACATAAAAACATGACCGAACCCTTCATCGGCCAATAAAATAGGCAAAACTAACATACATACATACAAACTCATGCACGTTAGCAACAGGCTCACAGGCGTGAGAGCCACCAGCAGATGAACTGTGCTCATGATGAGCTGGGTGAGGAGGGGAACTCACACACGTAGGAGGTGAGACGGGGAACACACGTGTGCGTAGGTGAGAAGGGGAACACGCGTGTGCGTAGGTGAGACGGGGAACACGCGTGTGCGTAGGTGAGACGGGGAACACGCGTGTGCGTAGGAGGTGAGACGGGGGAACTCGCATGTGCGTAGGAGGTGAGA